GTTTGTTTTCCAGAGTGTTTTAGTGCCATCAGGAGAGGTGGCACTGAACTCTGGCTCTTTGAAGTCCAAAAGGCTGATGCTGTTAGCAGGGATGAAGGACATGTAATTCCTCCCTTTGAGAACATCTGCAGTGCAATTCATCAGATTAAATGTCARTGTTGATGTCTGACTTAATGCTTTCAAGTCCATGGAGTCAAACTAGCCCTTGTAGCATGTATCATACTACACAGGAGTAGAAGGGAAAAGGGAATCGGAGGAATTATGGAAAGTCTAGATTAGAAGGGAACTCAGGAAATCACCTTCTGCTGAAAGCATTGCCTTGATGAGGTTAATCAAGGCTTTTCCAAGCCTAGTCTGGAATATTTCTAACTATGGAGATTCCACAGCTGTTCTGAGCAACATAATAAAACATTTAAATATTAATTTAATTTCATTTAATCATTAAATTAAATCATTAAACACCCAGAAGTGGTTGATTTCTCCCTTTTTACTACAACCTGACATGAGAAGACAGGTACAAATGCACTGAAGAAGGTGAGATGAATTCCATCCCCAGCAAGACTTGCTCGGCACAGGCTTGGCTGAGCCAAGGAAGAGSAGAACTTCCATGGAAACAGGAGTTCAGTGCCAGGGACACCACGAGGAACAAGAGACTGCATTCMCTGACCTCTATTCCAACTCCATTCTCTCCCTTTTCAGGTTTTATTGTCTCCCCTTCTACCACTGGGGTTTTTACTGGACGAACACTTTTTTTGATTCCACAAGCAAATACTTTATTGTGTGTTTATCTGGCCCAGTTTATTCAGGTACTGACAAAATCCATGCACCACTCCCAGGCAGTCTGTTTGCTACACCAGCCAGCAAAAACATCTGCAGCTGTAACCAACTTCACAGCAAAAACTGAAGATTATAGGCAAAATCATCTGCCTCCTTTTTTTTTTTTTTTTTTTTTTCCACATGATTTCCAGTATTCCTAAAAAGAAGGAAGCAATCAGTATATCTGAGTTGAAATGAAAGGAGAAATGGTTTCCATTTAGTTTACATCTTCTAGGAAAGTAAAATAAATTTTCAGAAAACAGAATGGATTTCAGTGATAAGTTAACAGAATTAACAGACATATAGATGACTGATTGCTTCGTATTTCAAACATCTATCCTCATGGAAGGGAAAAAAAAATTAAGCCATAGCTTTTAAATTTCTGTGGAGCTGTTTCAAAATGTCTATTTTAGATCCACTTTTACTCTTCCTTAAATAAAGACTTACAGAGTAAATCAGTTGCAGAAGTGCACCAGCTTCTTCTTTTCAACTAAATTCCATTAAAATACTTGATAGGTTTCTCTTCATTCCAGCATGGAAAGAAAATAAAAATCAAACCCTTTGAAGCTGTCATTGGGTGTAATTGCAATTCTCCAGACAGCTCCATCATGGTCCCAGTCAGTCCCAGTAAAAATACAAGGAATGTAGACAGCAAAGAATTTAAACATTTAGCCATTGGAAAAGTCTTGGTTTCTTCAAGAGAGCAGAGTTTTCTGTGATGGAATGTAGGCATTCATTTAACATGATCAACAGCTAAGTGACTGAAAYGTGAATGTTTTCACTCACTCTTAGAGAAAAGGGAATGAAAACGTGAATTACCGTTCAAACTTGTATTTACAAAGATGAATTATATTATTTGCTAGACTTGAGAAAATTATACTAAACTGTTCTGATGATCTGAGAAAATTATTCAAAATTATAAAACCTGTCTGGAGCTGGGATTGTGATTGAATGTTAATGGTAATGAAGATATAAAACCATGAGCAAAAAGAAACAAAATTAATTATTTCTTTGTGGATATAGATAAATAAAAACGTAGATATGCAAATTTAATGATTGTTTTAAATGAAAGAATAACGAAAATTTTTAAAATTAAAATTGAAAATATTTTTTGCTGGAAATGGAAAACTGATGTACATTACAAATTCACATTAGTGTTATGCATATTTATTCATATAATCATGCATATGCTGTGAGGAGTAGGCATCCAGAATTATAACTACAAATTTTAAATTAAAATAAAAATTTGTACATGAGAACACCCTGCAGAACATAATTTTCCATATCTAATCGCTGAGCAAAGATGTCATTTTAAACCAGGACCAAATGATGATTTGATTTTTAGAAGTGGATTGTGAAATAATATTTTTTGTGAATAGAGGTCACTTGGATTTCTGTATGGTAGGATTAAGTCTGCTTAGTGGGGAAAGCAGTTTATACAAAACTTTCTTTTCCTATAGCATAATTCGGACAAATATTTATTTTGGGAGAAAATGTGTAAATGTYGGGATTGTGGATGAACCATCCTTTTTACTTTTACTTTAGATTTGCCATCTTGTGCATAGTTGTTATTTACATCAGGGGCAGGAATCATTACAAAGGTAAAACCCCCTAAAATTCCTGACTTTCATAGTTCGTTGACTTTAGTTTCGATTTAAACTCAATCTAACCCCAAATTTCTCTTTGTGTTTCCTCCTGAAGAGAAAAGATTTTGGGMATCTTGGACTCTTCCTAAACCCATCCCGGGGCTCTGCAGCTCTTGGCAGCGCTGCCTCTCCTCTGYMATTTGACGATTGACCARAGCGCTTCGCTYGATGCAAAAGGACATYTKCAGGAGCAGAACCGGCAGTGACAGCCCTGAAAATCCTCGGTGGGGACAGCAGCCGAGTACCTTGAAAGGTTTCGGTGCAGGGAGCGGTGCGAGACTCCCCCGGGKCCGGCAGAGCGGGAGATGCTCCGGTGCGCAGCGAAGGCACAGCTTTGTCCCCACCAGAGGGACATTCGGCATCTGAACYTCCCACTCGCTCCTCGCCTGTGCCTCCTCCTCTGCTCAACCCAGCCGAGATGTTACTCAGGGGGAGGAGGGACAGGCGGGAGGTGGAAGGAAAGTTTATTCTATTTGTAGGGTGAGAAGGGAGGAGGAACAAGTGGAAGGTTATTTAAACAAAGGCTGGTGGGGGAGAAGTGTGACAGTTGAGAGCACGATGAAAAAAGAAACCACTGACCTATTTTTCTCAAGAGGTTTGGTCCCCAAATGATGAATACTATTAATTCTGTGTCGAGGAAATTTAGTGTCTTAATCAGGTTTGACAGAAAAACAAACTCTAGGTACTTTTGTAAGTTTTTCTTTTTAATTTTTTTTTTTTTAATCTGATGGTTTTAAAATTGTTCCACACTGCTTTTACCTGCACCTGCAATCACATCTATGTTTTGTTTCTACCTTATAAGTGACCCATTTAAACAAAAGGGGACATCTCCCCTCTTTTCACGCCCTTCCTTGCTCCCGCTGGACAGGCTTTTGACTCTTTTGAGCCCGCAGTAAATCTTATCCTTGGAAATACTGGCATTGAATGGAGGAGCCTTTATTTTATAGCTAAGATGCAGGAATTTTCATTTCGGGGCTCGTAAGAAAAATRACCTTTCCCTCCATCTAGTCCAGGCACTAGAGGGCATCCCTCACCTACAGGTTACAGAAAGATGTGTCCCCAAACTGCTCAGGAGAGCCCTGCGACACTGATTTCATTCTCCCTGTCCGCCTTTCCACTSGTTGTGCTGATTTATGTGGATGACAAAAGGAACAGGACTGATCTGTCCTACAATTCCTGCTTTGGGAGGCATCTCTRCCAAAGAAACTAAAGGTGCAACCTGACCAAGCCAACAATAAACATCCAGCAAAGAAGCTGAACTCCAAAAGAAAGAAATTTGCAGAAATCAAAAATTTTCATAAATTCTGGACCTTCATGCGACAGCCACAGCCTAGAAATAAATTGTAGTTCCTCACAGAGCTCAGCAGAACACCCCAAAACTCAATGATTTTTAACATGTTTTAGAGGAAGAGAAGTGTTAGTTATGTCAGAGACTTCTGACATGGTTTTGGTCAAGAAACATAATATGCAACTAATTTTGCCTTATCTTACATCACACAGATAYTCAAGAGGTTGGACACATTCCTACCTTACAGAGATATCAAAACCYCTAGATATTGAGGACTGTGAAAACCTTTAATAATAATGAATTTAGAACCATCCAAAGAAGTCAAGAATGATACAATCCTGGGTCTTTATGAGAGATACTTTGGAGATTTTAGAGATTTAGTAAGATGAACAAATTATGAATTTAATTTCCATACTGAAATTAATACTTTTTCCACAGAAAAAGCTAATACTTTGCATTCTCTATGGATTCTCTTAAATACAGTATAAGACTGTGTCCTTCCTTTTTTGCCTCCTCCAGCAGCAGGAACCATTGAAGGATGGGTTTCCTTCAAGAAATTGTGCTATAAATTAGTTCCACCTGGAACTAATTTATTCCACCTGGAATATCTGCCCAGTGAGCACTGCTTAGTTTGACCCAGGATTGGTTAAACAGACAGAAAATGAACTTCACTTTGTTTTCTGTTTGAATGTTACTGTGGTAGTGCCTTCCTAAAAATTCCAGCAGATAAAATTCATGATTAGCCTATCCAGGAGAAAAAGGTCTCTGCCAAAGTGAGCTCTACCACCTCATCATTTATTTCTAGGACTCACAGCAAGGCAGTCTGAGAAGAGAAGCAACACCACAGGCTTGGTATCAGGTTTGCTGCTGACTTTGAATAAAGGAACTCCATTCCTGGGAAACAGGAATCTAATCCTGCCTTAGAGTAAAGGCACTCAAACATCCATCCCAGAGCAGCAGTTATCAGAGAGCTACCTCCCTCTCAGTATCTTCTGATGAATGAGTAACTGGTCACACACAATCCCAGAATCGTGGAATTGGCTGGGTAGGACAGAATTTTGAAGTTTATCACATTCCATCCCCCTGMYATGGGCAGGGACACCTTCCACCATSYCAGGTTGCTCCAAKCCCWGTCCAGCCTSGTCTTGGACACTTCCAGGGATCCAGGAGCAGCCACAGCTTCTCTGGGCACCCTGTGCCAGGGCCTCACCCCTCTCACAGGGAAGAATTCCTTCCCAATATCCCATCTAAACCTACCCTGTTTCAGCTTTCAGCATAAAGCCATTGTTCTGTTTACTAATAAAAACCACATCTGTGTTTATTCCTCCCTGACCAGAGATGTCTGAAGGACTGTGAGAGTGGAAACAGCCCTTGCTCCTCTGACCTGGTACCTTCTCTAAGACTGTAATTCCATCAGAGCTTCCTCTTGCAGGCAGGTGTGATTTGGGCACACCTGTATTTCAGAGCAGCCCTGTTGTAGTTCTTTGTGCTCAGTGGCCCAGAAAAATCTCAATTCCTTTGTCAYGGATGCTGAAAACCTCCARTGTTGAGGATTCAATGYTATTTCTGCCTTGAAGAGTCTCCAYCCTTTGAGATAATAGAAAACTCAGTAGATAAASTCCTGAGCAAGCTCTTCTAATTGACCTTGCTTTGAGCAGGAGGATTGGCCTGGGAGATCACCAGAGGTGTCTTCAGCCTCAACCCCTCTGTAATTCTGTGATTCTGTGGTAATACGTGCTGAGACCTCAGCCTCCATGCCTAGATCTGTGTGGACCTTTCAGGTTACCATCGTGGAAGGTATTGACCTTTAGGATGAGCTGAGTTCTCTCAGCATCAAGGAGGAGGGATCTGAAATTCCCAGAGCTGCTCCTCGCAGCCAGACAACAAACTGGGTACTTAGTGGATTCACCCAGAATAGAAGAGAKGCAGGTAGAGTTTCTTCCCTTTGCCTGAGGGGTTTGAACCTGCATCTCCCAGCTGAAGGTTTGAAGAGCCTGGCAGTATTTGGTGAATGATATTTAAACAACAAATAAAGGCCAAGGAAGTATCTCCTGGGCCTGTCTAGATATTATCTGAAAACAGATTTCATTCATTTATGTGTGTGGGGAAAAAGCTTGTCTAAATATTATGCTTTCTTATGGGAGGAAAAAAAAAAATCATCACATTTTTGGATCAGCTCCAGGAAATTCACAAGTTTAAAAAAAAAAATAAAAAAGAGGAGGATAAACAAACCTACTTATAGAGTTGGTATAAGACATTCATCTCTCTCACAAGAGCACTCAGATGATCGATTTGCAAGCACAAATCAATGCTGAGGAAACTGCAGGACCAGGCCACTTGCTGGGGGCCAAGAAATCTCAGAGTGAGCTTCCATTTTGCCACTCTCTCTGTCTGTGGCTTTAGGCAAGTCAGATCTCTTTATACAAAATATAGATTATGGAATTTAACCCTATGGCTGAAAGAAGATTGCATACAATGGAACATTTTAATTATGGTTATATTATATTGCAATATTAGAGACCCTACCTTCTACCAAGGAAGTCAAGAGTGTGACATTTGCTGCTTTTCTTCTTCCTGCAGGCAAATTCAGTCCCAGTCTGTCTAATTTTTCTCTCAAGCAACGTCCTCCATTCTTGGATTTTGCTCTATCAAGAGAGAACATCAGGAAAGAGAGACATTTGTCATTATTCTGCATATTTTCCCCMTCTTAATATGAGCCTGGAAACTGTACACACTTTGTTGACAAATATGTGGGGTAATGCCTGCCATAGTGAAAACAATGGGAGATATTTCAGAGCTGTACAATGGGAAATATTTCAGAGCTGTACTCTTAAAGTTCTGCTTGCTCTATGTGATTCTTTAACATTTTTCTTTGACAGAGTTAAACATTTTAATGCCTGTCAGGGGGGTCAACAAATCTTCAAGCAGCTTTGCACCTAGTGGAGCCCAAGCATCCTGATTTGGGCACAGAGCCTGGGATTACAGTGGCTAAATGTAAATATTGACAGTGCAAACACTTATATCTGATTTAGCCAAGTCAGGTTCCAAAGACATTGTCCAAAGTCATTGTCCAAAGACAAATTAGAGAGAAACGTGACCTACTAGAATCAGATTAAACAGATATCTACAATGAGTGAACTTCACTTATCCAGATTTTCTGATGATTAAAGGAAGTCAAACAACTACTTAAATATAAATGTCTATGTGGAACCCAGCTCTAACCATCCCTCTATAATTTATGTAGAGGCCTGGGTACTCAAAAATGTTKCCTACAAAGCCAAAAACTCACAAGGAAGAAGGACAAAGCGATAAGAAATATTGAAGCTCAAATTTCAGCCATCACTGGTTATCTGTGCCCCTATGCCAAACACCTCCATCCCTTTGTTCTCACAAAATGGGTTCTGGTGTGTCCCAGTGCTGCTTTTCTGCTGCACCTCWGTGTTTGAAGTATTTGAGACACATCCACTTATGCAGCAGACACAGGTTCAAATTCYCCCTCAGCCTGAGGGAATTTCAACCTGCGTCTTTCAGACAGATGCTGYAGCCAGCTGACAGCAAATAACTAATGTTAAAATGCTTAAACAATGAGTAAAGCAGTGACTGGAACCCAGGTATCTCCCATCCCAAATAAATGACCTGTCCATTAATTAGATAAGAGCGTGCACCTTTGCTTTTTGTACAACAAATGCATAAGTAACCCCAAATGAGATTGAGAGACCCTCAGMTTAGAAAAAGTAGTCACTGGGTAGTAAAAATAATTAACTAAATATTTTGAGGTTCAGGTTCTTCAAGTTCCTTCAGGCAGAGGAAAGAAGCAAAACATGAAACACCACCATCTGAATATCTGCTTTTGTGCATTAAGAAATTCCTCAACTTTGGCCACATTGYTTGTCAGGAAACGTCTTCTGAGAAGAATTCTTTTCTTTATTCTGAAGAACACTATTCCCAAGGCAAGCTGTTKGGGAAAATAGGTGACCAGTGACTACTGACAGCATGTAAAACCAGCTCTTCTGGGTCTCAGGCAAACAATCAATGATATTTTGTTTTCCTACATGTTTTCTGGTCAAATACAGAGTGTTGGAGCCTGTTCTCAGCTACAAACCAGCCAAATCTGTTCAATTGCACCCCCTGATTCATAAAACTGAATTAGCACATCCAAACTGCAGACTGAGAGAAGTCCTTGGCTTTTGCAAATTCCTGAACCACGCCCAGGGTTAATTTGGGAGAGGAGATATTTAGTCTGGGTCAAAAAMCTGTGGGGATCATTCAAGCATTTTAACAGAGAAGTGAGCCCCACTTTCAAGCTGATGCCCTTGAATTCTCAAAAGCTTGCACTGTATTGATGAAATCTGTAACCATGAGTATTTAAAGTGAACATTAGCTGAAGGTTTCTCCAGGATGAAGCAAATAGAGGGGGAAATTTTGGCGGGTGTCGATTTTGGATTTCAATGCAGAGACATTTAAATGGGGCTTGTACCTTGAAAACAATTAATGATCCACAGCAATTATTCTCCAAGATGGCTCAAGACAGCTCTTGAAYGCCTGCATCTCTCAGGCTGGTTAAAATGACTTTCAGAATAAGCACGAGGATCAGTGTGGCCTTCAGTGCCAGCAGTGAAATAGCCGATGACTTCCCAGCTCGTTTTGATCAAAGGGTGTTCAGGCAGCTGATGCCATCTGAGCTGACGCCTCAGGGACACCACGACTTAGATATGCCTGGCTGAATTACTGAATTACAGTTGTCTCATAGTTTTCCTCTTGCAGTGTGAGGCACAGCCTGCCCTTTTCCTTCCTTCTGTTCCTGCTCTCTGCAGGTGTCTGCYCTGGTCAGTGAAGGGTCAGAGGCAAAACTTCACCTAATTATTTGCTTCTCCTCCAGTATCTCACAACAAGAAAAGGAAAACCAGCTTATTCTGGCTTTTCTGTGCTCAAAAGACATGCAAAGAAAGGAAGAAAAAGACATCCCTACACATCTATTTTTGTTTTTTTTGTTGAGCAAGGGCTGTAACAACACTCAGTAAAACAATTTGCTTTGAGATAGTATCTCAGCAAGAAGCCAGATTTGTAACTCTGGTGGATTTTTCCACATATTTAAAGTATTTTTTATTCACTCAAAACAAGGCAAAGCAACATCTGTCCATGCCTGATGAGTAACTGAACAGAGGAGGTAAAAAAAACCCAGTTTGATGAAAAGTGCAAACTTTCTAATTTGTTGAAAATTCTCCAGTGCTCCCTCCCCATCCTTCTTCTGTTTCCCCCGAGTATGACCACCCATCCAAGCAGGGAAAAAAAAAAGCAAATTTGTTGAAAATAAAAAAAAAAAAATTACAGCATTGTCTAGGAGTTRTTATTCTCACCTTCAACTTACCTTCTCAAAATACCTCCCAGGAGGGAGGCGTTGAGGCATTCTGGTGGTGAAAGGCGCCTCTTGACCTCTGCAATGGTCACTTTGTACTTGGAAGTGGAGCTGAGCAGGGACAAGCGACCAGGAACAGAGCAGAACAGGTCGGTGGGGTTGACAACACAGGTGCCACCTATGAAATAAAGGAAATATTAAAGTGGGGRAAACATCATCTGCTGTGTTTCGACAAACTCTCATGGTTTGTTGAAACAGTGAAGAGAAATTCTGTTGTTTACTTGCGGTTGGTTTTGTTTGGGTTTGGTTTTTCTTGAGTTGTGTTTAGTTTGTCTTTTCATAATATTTTTGTTTTGAGAAAAATAAATGTGTTGAAATATCAGGGTGGGAAGAGTGAATTATTAGTTCTCATATGTTTTATGGTCAAAGTACACCGTTGTGGCTATTTGATATAATTTGATTTCATGCTCTGAAAAAGTTACTAATTATCTCTAAGGCCTCTTCAGTCTCATGTGATTAACAAAATAAAATTGAGCCCTCATTCACAATTTGAAAAAACACAGTGTGTGAACAATTTAGGATGCTGGTGCTAATGAGAARTGTTGATTTTCTCGTAGCAGTATTTAGGATTATGAAGATGCAAGAGCACTATGGGTTTGCGGTGATTTGCAGCAGGAACAGCTTTCCACACCTTTGAACTCATAAATTCCCTCCAAAGTTGGGTCAAATCCTCAGCTGATATTAACGATTGAAATCTATTGAGCTACATCAGTTTATCTCAGGTTAGTTCTGCAATTGTTTATTTCTTGAGAGTGGCAATTACTTGGCCTGGGTCTAAAACTGCTGAATGATCACCAAATCTTTCAGTCAAGGCTGTGATCAATAACTCCTCAGGCAAAACCGAGCTTTTAACTTWAAGTTAATATGAGAGAGAGAAAGAGAGAAAACTTTCTTTGCAACTGATCCAAGAGAGTAGAACAAATTCTGGGGAAAAAAAAAATCTTGAGGACTAACATATTTTATCAGCAAGCACAAAACACTTTTCTTTGACCTGCCTTCTCCAACCTGACTACAATAAAAAATTCTGTGGAAGAAATAAATCTTATCACTGCATGYACTATTCTTCCCTGGGGGAAAGATGAGAAAAAAAAAAGAATGAGCTGCATATGACAGTGATATAAAATATCATATAATTCAATGCACTACTAGAAGGAGTTCATATGGTTTATGTGAGGATGATGATATAAAGACCTTCTTAGAGAGGAATTAATCTGTGCTCATCCTTCATGCTTAAAGGAAACATACTGTATCTTTTAAGATACCCTGATAATTTCTTTTTTTCCTATGAATACCTTAATATTTTTTAACTACAAGAGCTCACTTTGTTATATTAAAAAAATTAGTTTCTAATCTAAATTCTATAATAAGTTTAGAAGAATAGAATAGAATAGAATAGAATAGAATAGAATAGAATAGAATAGAATAGAATAGAATAGAATAGAATATTTTTTAAAAGCTCACTTTAAACAAGGTCGTACACCTTTTTCATTATCATCTTACACATGCAGTTCCTCTAAAAATTAAGGTGACTCTGTTCCACTTCCCACAGAGACAGACTGAAGGGTGAACCTTCATTAAATGCAGACTATTGCTTGCTTACATAAGGCAAACAGAATTTCTTTCCAAATATTTCAGCTCTTGAAGGTATATTTAAACATTTGTGCTGACAGCAACACCAGAAAAGAACATCTCTTGGTATCAATCCCAGATGGGTGAGATCCTGACTCAGTACAGCAGGGTATTTTATGGCTTCTAATTATGTTCCAGGGCAGATATTAGTGTCCACTTCTTAGACAGGATATAGAGACAAATCGTGCATCACCAAAATACAGACACATCAAGGGCACTGATGCACATTTTTACGCAGCTCAAAGCTACAATTAATGAGCTCATACACTCAAACACAAAAATCTGGCGCTGCACGCCTGAAATAATTTTGGGTCTGTGTTGTTTTGGTGTTTGGGTTTTCTTCGGTGGGATTTTTTTTCCCCCAGAAACCTGTAAATATTTTCAAGCAACGCTTTTAAACTTCTGGTCTGTCAGGTACATTTGTGAAGAGCGTTAACACTGAGTAGAACTGTTTGTTTGGCATCTGCCACACAATGCATATACACACGTGTATATATATATACGTGTCAAGAAAACAGTAGCGCTGTGTACATATTTATTTACTTCAATGAGTCTGTAGATTTTATAACGAGTGAGACTGTACTGAAATCAGTGTCATATTAAAGTTCATCTCCTTGCCAGGTTAAGCCAGTATGTGCACCCTTTATGCCAGATAAATAATTGTTCCTTTAATCCAAAAACCTGTTACCCTGCAGCTGCTCCTACCCTAACCAGAATTTACTGGAACACTTCTCATTACTATTTAGTAGAAAGTTGCTTACAGCCTAAAATGTTTTAAAATATCCTGCCTAAGCAACGTGATCTAAAACAAAGCAATTCCAGGTAAGCCATGTGTGGGTTAAAAGCAAAAGAAAACAGCAAGTCTAGGTCATTTGCTTTCCAGAATCAAGAGGAACAAGTAGCAAATTACAAGAAGGTAAAATCTATTGCATATAATTATTTCACTCTATTAATTATTCATTGACACAGCAACATAGAGCGGTGTGGTGCTTTCTAGATGAAGATATGTCTTTGTCAYAAACTGTATGCATTTTTGAAGGCATGAATTTCCTGCCCACAAACAYCTCTTTGGAGAGGAGATGGATGAAACCTGGCCTTTACACCATGGGGTAAACAGAAAAAAAGAATTTTTTCTGCTGGAAAGAGGGAGGAAAGGAGAAGGGCAACCACACAGGAAAAAGAAAGATTAAGTTTCTTGCCAAACACACATACTTCAGTGTGTTCTTTCCTTCCTCCTGATCATGTGTTAGAGTGGACAAATGATTTTGTGAAGCAGCTTAACATGAAGACCAAAAGATATGTTTTAAATTGCAATAATCAACAACGGCAACAAACAGCTTTTTTCCCCCATCAACACAATGTCACTGCAGGTGCTGTTGGAAAAGTCAATCCTCACTTAATGGTTGAGACAATTTTATCATAACAGAGTATTTGAGAGGTGGGATGCTAAGACGCCAGCAGAAGAAGCAGAAAAAATGCTTTCAAAAATAGAGTGGAAATAATGCCTTTTGTGCGTCCAGCATTTCAACCTGGATATCTCTATTCCTCTTATCACCTTTTACTGACTTTGGAAATTTTTACAGACTAGCTTCTGGTGCCAGAACTTACAAAACCCCCTCAGCTCATTGAATGAAGAGCCCACATGCAGGAACAGCAAAGTKATGTGCCCACAAGTGCATGAAGAAGGGAAAGCTGTGGCTGTTGCACCCTGACTCGTTATCCATGGCATTCATCCCTACAGCAAAGCCAGGAAGAGGAGAGCCGTCAGTCTTACAGATTATCCAGCCTCAGCAATTTTGTGCTCTGAGTACCATGTGAAATGAGCCTGTGAATGTAAAGAAAATTCCTTTTAGGACAACTGTTTATTCCCATAGGGATGTGATGACATGGTCTGGTCTGACTTCCTCTGTTGCTGTTAGATACTATTTTGGAGATGACTGTAAATGGTGAAGTCGTGCTCTTACAGCCACAGAGGTCAGAAAACACAGGCAGGACAACATTTAGATGAAGGGACAATTATATTATATATTGCAACTGATTAGGGGGWAAAAAAGRAAGAAGGGAATCTTTCAGGTACTCAATCYCTTCTTTAGGGCTTCTCTTTTATCCACCTGTCTTTAACTTCTTTATTCATGACAGAGTTTTACTCTCTGATCTGTCATCATCATGTTGATTTCAATAAATATGGTTGGTCACAAGACAAAAATGGRTGGGAAAGAGAGATGTTTTGTGTAGCTGACCTCATCTAGGTGAAAGAGGACCCAAAACTGCCGTATACTGAATCCCCAAATCACCTGAAGAGATTATATATAACYTGACTGAGTCAAAAATGCTCCTGCTCACTGCAAAGGGTTGGACTAGATGACCTTTAAAGGTCTCTTCCAACAAAAAGTATTCTATGATTCTAATCTATTATTATTTTCAAGTGGCCTGAGGCATAGGAGTGACAAAAGACTGAGCTCTTTTTTGTTAGTTTACTTTGGGGGACGAATCCTTTTCTTTCTCACTGACTGGTTCATGTTCAACACAATGTCCTCCTTCATGCAAACTCTGCTTTTGCTTTGTTTCCCAAACCCAGTACGAACAAAAGTTGTGATACTGGAAAAGGTAATCTGAGCAAACATCGGGAGAGTATTTTCCCTTCCTTATTCCTGTCTCCCCATCAAATAGCACATGTCAGTACAAAATGCCAACACAAGCTGATGATGGGTTGTGCAGATGACAGCAGGGAGAACATGCTCTACCCCACCAGCTTTGTCAACACAATGAAAAAAACCCCAATAACGCATGTGGCAAGAAGAGCTTGGTGTATTTTGGTTGTAGGGTCCCTTTGTAAGATGAAGAGAACAATAGGATGGCTGGGCTATGGTGGTTTATTCTGATTTAGTTACTCAGGCACCTGCTGAAATTCAAGGCTGCCTGGCATCAGAGTTAAAGATTTGTACATCCTTTCATTGATAAAACCAATACTCTGATATATTTTTTTATACTTTTCATAAGCAATGTTTTTTGTTTATGAGGMATGAGAGAAATATCCATGTCACTAGATAATTTTAAAATTTAAATACTTTTTTTTTCAAATATGTGTCTATAATTTTGTACAGAGACACACATCCTTACACTCTGCAAGGTCATTTTTATTTGTTAATTGTAACAGTCATAATACCATGCGTATTTTATATTCACTCAAGATGGCATAGTCCCTTTCTCCAAGATATTCACCTGTAAATGTCATGCACCTAAGTAAGGAAACATCATAATACAGTGGTGACAACGGTGCAGAAGTGCTGCTTATTTTGTTTTTCAGGATATAGATGTTTGTGTACTTGTGTACATTATTAAGTATAAGCATGCCTGAATGTCAACAGCTTGATCTTATATAAAATATTAATAGCATGCTATGCTTTTTATTAGTCTATTATTTATATCTACAGGTGATGTTTGTGGGAGTCTCCAGCTCACAGTGTATTTTCTGCCCTGTGCTGAAAT